GTTCATCCTTAGTGGGTTTCTAAGGAAGTGATTGTCTTTTTAATTAGTTTACTTTTTACTGGTTCTTCTGTTGAGTTGATTGGAATTTGTAAACTGAATTTGAAAGATAGTGAATTAAGGTCACTCTTGTGATTAGAGTTAACTTGAAACTGGATGTGGGGTTGGCTATACCCGAACCAATATAAATTATTGTGTGCTCCTCTCTTGTGCTCTTTTCTTTTCCCTATATTTTTGTGCTTACATCCTTCTTTTTTATCCTTTTGATTATATTATCGCTTTCGCTTTATCTGTGTTCAATTTGATAATTAAAATTGAATTAATAAATTATTAGACATCTTAAAATAAATTTTTAATTTAACATCTATTTTAATTTGTGCATCTATTCATCCCCTCTAGATGTCATTTGTCTAGCATAGCTACCTACTGATCTTATTTTATGTCACTTATTTATTTTAGTTAGTTATTGGTTCTACTTTACGTTGTTTACTTATTTACTTATTCTCTAGTCGTGTACGAATCTTATTTTAATTATCTCTAATTACGTACTAATCTTTTTTTATATTTATTTATTTATATTACTGATCCTATTTTAATTATCTCCAATTACGTATTAGTTATGTGTTTATATTTATTTATTTATTTGTCTTATTAGTCCTATTTTACTTATATTCAGTTATGCATTGGTCATACTTTATGTTTATTTATTTATTTCTAAATACATATTGGTCCTATTTTATATTCATTTATTTGTCTCCAGTTACTCACTGGTCATAGTTTATTTATCATTGGTAATGCAATGGTCCTTGTTTATTAATTCATATTTATATTATTTCATTTTTTTAAATAATAATATTTATTTATGAAGATTCAATAATATTATAGATGGAGGTTGGATCTTGAGGATTTAAATGAGTAGATATCCCCGAGAGAATGATTAAAATTAGGTTCATTTATCCTAACTAATCATTACAAAATTAATTTAAATCTTCATAGTATGAAATAAATGAAATATATTGAGGAAGTTGAAAAGTATATTTTATATATCATTATGAGATTACATTATTTTAAATGATAATTGTTTTCACTTCTTAGTGTGATTATATTTAAATATCAACTTAAGTAAATGAAGATGTCAAATATCTCAAATCCTTATTGTGTAAATATGACCGCCTTCTTTTCAGGAACTACTGTTAACACAAATATTATTGATAACTCAGTTACTTTTAGAGGGACAGGATTATCGGTCTTGACATTTGCATTTGACATAAAAACTTCTATCATGTTAGATGGACCAATAATGATAATTTTTTATATGTTTCCTATCATTTATTAAAATCTCTTAATCAGTTGTTCTTGTCAATAATGTAAATATTTGTATAATTGTAATAAGAATAGAAGAAATAAAAAAATAAATAAAATATTTTCTTCTTTTATATATCCTGTATAAAAAAAATAATTTACAAGAAAACATCTTTATTTTATCTACTACCGTGTCAAAAAAAATGTCACAAAGAAACATTTATGGAGATTTTCTTGTTCGAATTTCAAAATCAATCGTTTATTGAAAAAAGGACTTTGCTCTTTACCTGCATATTTTGTTTTCTCTTATATTAGTTATTTACTCAAGTGATATATTTCATTTTTCTTATTATTCACAGTTTGTATTGCACGTTCTAGATAGAGAATCTGGTTCTTGCATATTGGCAGGTGTCATTAGTCTAGGAGAATATTTTTCTTATATGATTTAATAAAACTCTTCTTAACTAGATAAGTTAATTTATTGTTGTAAAAACTCGGTTATTCTAGTCAAATCTTAGCTATATCACACATTTTAATAATAAAGAAAAACTCTACTTAAGTATAAGTATATCATATTTAAAAAATATAATTTGTGATTTGTATAACGTGGTTGTTTTAAAATAACTAATTTTTTTATCTTAATAAATAATTTCAAAATAAAATAAATTTTAACTCAGAACAATGTGTACTACATGGAAGATTTTTAAAAAAGTTTTTTTTTTTAACTTAATATGCAAAATACTGCAATTAAAGATACTTTAATTAACCTCACTGTTTATTGTTTTTGTTATTTATAATTTTTTTTTTAAGTTTTCACTCGGTCATTATCCATATCTCATCCAAATAAAACATAAAATAATAATAATAATAATGTTTGTTAAGTACACTAGTGGAATAATGGGAATTTAATCCCTCATATGTTGGAAACCATACAAGTAAAGGAAAAACAAAACCACAGATAAAAGGGGCCAAGACCCACACTAACTCTTATATGCTCAGATACGTAATTAGCACAAACCATTGATAATATATAATTGTCAATAAAATATATACAAAAGTGATCTTGAAAGTTTATAAACTTGTCCATTAAAAGTCAATAAAATATGCATATGAGTAAAAATCAAATCTGTTTGGCATTGTGAGGTGGGAGAAACGGTGAAGTATGATGGAACTTCCCAAAACAACATGTTTGTTACGTTTGTGATTGGCATAATTTCAATCTTCTCTCAATTATTGGTTTGCACGGCTCTATGTTACACTTGCTCTTGTTACGTTTGTATATATCCACATATTTTCCATTAATTTTCTCTCATTTACTCATCTTTCATGTGTATTAATATACAAAATAAATATACTTTTAATTTCTCATTAATAATTGAATAATTAAATATGTTTATTCTTTTACATTATTATTATATTAATATATATTGAAATGATTAGATGAAAGAATACTTCATTAATGCAGATTTTAATATAAACAGGGTAGACAAATAAACTCATTCTAGTTATATTTTTTTAAGTTTATGAAAATAAATTGTCAAATTATGTTTACATGTGTGACGGACTACACGATCAAATTTATTTATTATTATAACTTTTCTGAAAAACACTTGTCAAAACCTATTTTCATCCTCACACATTATCATCTCTATTGTAAAATTATCATATATTCATATGTCCGATGATAAATTATAATATATATATATATATATATATATATATATATATATATATATATATATATATATATATTATAAAAGAGATTGAAAATGTTGTGTTAGATTTATAATCTTATCCAAATCTTACCATCTTTATTATTATTATTATTATTATTATTATTATTATTACTATTTTGATTTCGTTTTTTTACGTAAAATCCTTTTAAACCATATAATTTAAAATTTTATAAGTTTGTTAAGTTATTTAAAAAAAATTAAATTCATTTTTATGGATTTAAAAAAATTGTTATTCATCCAATAGGATATTTCTATTTTGAATTTGAAACAGATATATCTCAATAACACAAATTAACTAATTAGATAAAATTACTTAAATGTTACTATCTTTCTGATCTTTTACACATTGATCTTATCAATCTTAAAATATTAAAAAAATGATAGAATAAAAAAAGAGAAAATATAAAATATAAAAAAACATATAATAAACAAATGAAAGAATATAAAATATTTCTTGAACATTTTTATTCAATATATTTAATTATTTATTTTACTTAAAAAAAATTAATAAACTCAAAATTATATATATATATATATATATATATAATATTTTGTTTAAATTATTACAAATTTAATAAATTATTAAATTTAAATATCATACAAAAATTTAAAAGATTAAAATTATAAATATTCAGACAATCTAAAAAAAAGTAGGATTCACCACTGCTTATAGGTATATCCTATGTTTATCTTTTCATATTTTCTTTTCTCTTTTTTTTTAACCTATGCCTTGCATAAGTCACTCTACTTTGGAACACAGTTTTCATCTTCTATTCCAACATCAACCATCATATAAAATATGTAACTTTTATAGTTTTTATTCAAAAGATGATACTCAGACTCACTCTTCAAGTGTTTGGACAAGGAAAAAATACAATACATCACAGTTCGAGACATAGATTATGTCAACTCAAATGCTCTGAGTTGGGTAGTGTTAGTCTACTACAAAAGAATATGTCATGATTTTTATTTAGAAATGTGAAACATGTCAATAGTATAACCCACCCTCAACAAACTCACAAGAAGAGTTACACAATGTTACAAAATCATGACCTTTCACGTCTCGAGGAGGATATACTCAGAATTTTTTCTATTATCAAAAGACATGTTAAGTTATTGATTATCGTTATAAATTATTTTACACAATGGATTGTGGAGAACATAAAGCATCTTGTATGTTATATTTGATGAAGTCAGGACAAGGAGTCTTTTTGTGCATGTGTTTAGTGTTCGATATGTAAGCATTAGCTTAATCTCAATTCAATCATCTCTTAAGTTAGAGAGAATATCTCACTATCTTTATTTTTTAGTAAAAAACTATTTTTAACCGGTTAAAAATATGTTTCTATCAATTAAAATATTATAGGTGCGCATTTTTAATAGATAGAAATACAAATTAATCAATTAAAACCATTAAAACTCAATATTCTTTCCTTCTTCAAAGTTTTAATAGATTAAATAATATTTTTCATCAATTGAAATGTTCTTGACCAATTGGTAAAAATAAATTTTAGAAAATTAACTGATTAAATCTCCAAAATATTAGTAAAAATATTCATTAGTTACTTAGTGATTATTATACTAAGTTTTAATCCATTAATATATTTTTTTATCAATTAAATAAGCTCCTAAGTTCCCATTAAAAGGGAGAGACTATATCACCTTAAAATGAAGGTAGTATTTATATTTCACTGCTGTGCCTAATGGCAGAGAACAAATACCAAAAAGAGTTCCAACCAAACACAAGTCGTTGCATCTATACAGCGAGAAAAAATCAATCTTGAATGAATCTTACGTCCCCCACCCAAGAAAGATGGGGTAGTTTAGACATGCAATCTCCATATTCGCATGGAGTTTTGGATTACTAGTTAAAAAATCAGATACTACTTATCACACACAAATTTATAAAGAATGACAAGGTTAAGTACAAGTCAGCATCGTGATCATTATACTTGTAATCTTCGACTACATGTTCTTGGACAAGAACGTTGCCTCCAATTTATAACATCTGTCCTCAACCACAGCAAGACGATTTTTGTGCAGCTTCCCCAAGTCCTCCTGATTGGTCTTGGCTTATTTTTACTGTTGATGGCTGCAGTGAAAATATCAACTTGAGAGAGGGAGAGGGAACTGTTAACACATTAAAGTACTGAGAGAGGAAGTTCAAATACCTCTGCCTTGGAATCAGTGTCAGCCAACCTTTGTTTTATATCTCTTGCTATTGAGAAGAAAACTTCTTCAACATTTAGATTTGTCTTTGCACTCTGCAATAGTATTTTTCATGAGTTTAATAACACATAAGTTTAGGGGTTTCCACATTTTCTAGCACTTACAGTTTCAAAGAATTTGATTCCATATTCATCGGCCAGTGCTTGGCCCTTGGATGTAGGCACAACCTTAAAAGAAAGGGGAAGGTATATTACGATCACAAACATTTCAAATCCGACATGCATGCACATATGGCATCAAATCAAAATTCAACCCTTTTCTAATCTCCACATCCCAGCAAAATAGATGAAAATTCACTTGCAGTAACAAGTATCTCTAAAACCCTCAATGGTTAAATTAACCATAACTAGAACTTGCATAACAATGATGGAAGAACATTTGATACTTATTGGTCATTTTTCCAAGTCCTTTTGCTCTTAGCTACTTTGTTGTTTTAATCAAATTGGTGTCCAAAATATCATTACTTTGCTCATGCAAGTTGTAGAAGATGCCAGGAAAAAGAAATAAAGAAGTTTTCATCAAACAGGGGAGCAAGGTTATCTTACCCTTTTGCTTTCATCCATGTCAGCCTTGTTCCCAACCAGTATTTTGTTAACATTGTCTGAAGCATGTTGCTCAATATTGCGAATCCAATTCCTGATATCTAAAATAAGTAGAAGCTGAATGAATATTCCAAATGAAAAAGAATTTAAAGTTAGAAGAGTTAGTCATAGATTTGCAAAAGAATTTAAATTAGAAGAGTTAGTCATAGATTTGCAACTTTACTGTTAAATGATGCTTCATCTGTAACATCATAGACTAATAATATGCCCATTGCACCTCGATAGTAAGCTGCGAAAAAAAAAATTAGGAGATAAGACATGTAGCACAAAAAAGTTAAATGATAAAACTCCCCCAGTTCTACGTTTTTCATATATAAAAAAGGTTAAAAAAAAAAAATTAAGCATGAATGAAACAACAGTAATGGACGGTTTTTCTGAAAGTTTAACCCTTGATAGTAGACACATTAATAATACTAAGGGGAAGTTTAGAACATATTATTTGGAATAAAAGGGAGGGTCTTTTCATATTTAGTCAATATTATCTAATTTATTTATTTTCAAATGAAATAAAAATGAATAATAGATTAGCTTGAACTTAACATGTTAACATTTTATTTATTTAATCGTTATAATGCTATCTTAATTTACAATTTATCCTTCCTTTACTCCCCTTCAAAACCTAACTCACATATCCTAAATTAATCTCTGTAATATTCATCTTATGTAAGTTAAACAAACTCTCGTTGGCTCTAGCCTGTGGTATCTTTAACATTCAACAATTAACTTGAGTAAAAAAATATACATTGAAGTTATATTAGCCTTCCCGAAACCTTCTCACCTACAAAATGTTATGCAGTAGAAACAATGGTGATAAAAAAAAATAGCACCAGACTATTTTAGGGTTCAAAATAAGACATATCACAGGATTTAATTTTTGTCATACCCAAAGAATTCCAAACTAGAACAATAAACTGCCTTTATAGTCTGACATATCATATCTGATACGGAATAAGAATTATGATGTTTTTCCTGGTTACTTCCGTTTCTTCTAGTTTTTCTTTATGCTTAGCTTACATTTTTTTCCTATACTATATCTACTATGCCTCATTTTTTCACCACCTTTAAATCCTACATAAGGAAGTGCCATAAATCATATGTCAAGTTCTATGCAATGAATCTCCATGTGTCACATACAATCATACCAAAATCCACATAATAATACCTGCAAAAGTGATAGATCTTACCAGTTGTAATTGTTCGAAACCGCTCCTGCCCTGCAGTATCCCAAATTTGGAGCTTGATCCGCTTGCCATCAAGCTCAATGGTTCTTATCTTAAAATCAATGCTACATTAGGAAGGTGGGGCTATTGGTGTTAGAGAGATAAGCTTCTGACAAACAAAATTCTCTAGTTTTACTCCACAGCTGTAAAAAACATACCCAATAGTTGTGATGAAACTAGTAGTGAAAGAACCATCAGAAAAACGCAGAAGGAGACAACTTTTTCCAACACCTGCAAAAATGAAAGCATGAGAGATTAGCTTGCATATATGTTTCAAGCAAGCTACTCAATCATTCCATTATGATAACTACCATGCCTACTAAAATACTTCTAATCCTTTGGGAAACATCAACAACTGCCATCATTTTGGAGCTTAATTTATATGCACTACTAGAGAACAAGAAACATTTTGCTATAACCAAATCAGAAATCATGTTAGTATTCAATTATTTTATTCTTATCACACATCGTCATTCTTGTCACACATGTTTGTTTGTAATTGGATGACAGAAATCCTTTATAGTATCAAAGTATATTGATTACTCTAGTTTTAGTAGGGGAAAAGGAGATTTAAATGAACACAATAACATCTTGTAGATGCAATCATACAGGCTTATTTAGACAAACCAATACTTTGAATTAAACAAATAATAAATGGATCAAATACAAGGTTAATTTCAAATGATAATAACCACACAAGTCAACACACATTTGCATTTCAACCTCTTTCGCACCAAAATATGCACCACAATTACAAAAACAATAAATTCAAATGCTGGCTCAAACCAGATCATGAAAAGAACAATTTTATCCATGGTTTAAAACCAATCCCATTTGAAAAAGATAGATATGCATTTGCCACGAACTCCAAACTCAACGATTCAAGATGTAGAAAAAAGAAAAACATGGTGGAATGAAAAGAAGGGAACCCCTTCTGAAAGAACCACCATTTATGATTATGAAGAAAAACACAATTCTTAAATCACATTTTCCCCTTCTCTTCGTTTTCATAACAATATTTTTGCCAAAAAAACAATTTAAAAAGGATGAAGAAGGCCTTACCGCTGTCACCAATCAAGAGAAGCTTTATGAGATAATCATAATCGGCACGAGCCCTTGCCGTTGGAGCAGCCATTAACTCTCAAGTTGTAATTTTGTTTTTAATGAAAGGAAGAATATGTTTGAAGACTAAGGAAAAGGGTGTTGAGTGTGTGAAAGATGGTGAGATCGATAATGGGCAAGAGAGAGAGGGATCTCGTCCAAAACTCATAAGTGAAGGAAGATGGAAAATTTTGAGAGAAAATAGGTGCGTAATTTTTGTTAAGTTCACTTCATTTTATTTTATTAAAGAATGAAAATGGAAATGACGAGAAGATTTCGGAGGAGACAAGGTGTTTGTTTATTTTGATTTTTTCATTGATGTTGGTAGACATCATAGTTTACAACAAAAATTTCAAATTTTTAAAGTAGTGTATTACTATATCCTCAATTTTTACACACTTTGTCGTCATATATTTTTTTCATGATATTTTTTTTATATATATATATTTTACATTTATAATAAAATGTCTTAAAATTTTAAAAAATTATGACAAAACATAGAAAAACTTAGATAATAAAATTACTAAAATAATAGGAAGAAGAAGATAAAATATTTAATTAAATTTTTAAAACACTATTTTTACTGTTTATATGACTTTTACTAAACACTGATTTAAATCAATCTCCCAAAACACACTTCAACTATTTTGAATAAACAATTATTATTATTATTTTCAGAAGTACATTTTATGAAAAACTAGATACAATGTATTAATTGTTCATGAAGGCCGCAAATAAATGTATTTAATTATATCAAATAAAATTCAAGAAACGACATATTATTTGAACTTTTAACGTAAGACTGAGAAAATATATTCTAACACTGAAAACTAAGAAGTTGTTTATCTGAATAAAGTTTCATATTTAAGTTTTGTAATAAAGAAACAACAAAGAGGAAATATCTCACTCTGATTGGTCAGTTTATAAAAAAAGAAACATAAAATTTTTACTTTAATTTTTTATTAATCAATACTATTTTTAATACATTTTATTGTATTAGACTGAGATTCAATTAAATACTAAATAATTTGTTTTAAACTTGACTTTCTATGTTTTTTAAAATATGTATTCTAAAATTTCAAAGTAATTATGAGAACTGTCAAAACAAAATAACTAAAACTGTAGTCAGATCTTCAATTCTTATTACAATTAATCTATAATATATGAATAAATTATTAATTTGATTAAATTTCTATAAGAACGGTTCATCTATAGTTAATGTATTTGAATGTCTTATTAATAAAAAAATAAGACTTTAAAATATAACGACTATATATATATTTGAATGATATTTTTTAATCTTTATTTAAGCTTTTCCAATGCTAAAAAGGAAAAATATTAATTAATATAATTCAAATGAAAATTATTTAGTTAAATTCATTACTTTTCTTTAAGAACATAATTTAATTAATAATATATTTATTATATTTTACGAACATAACTATGTATTTTATTTTAATTTAGCCAATACTTTACTTTTTTTAACATTATTTTTATTAAAAAATATATGTAACTTACCAAATTATCTGTGTTTTCATACCTCTGCTAAGTTTCTTTATTTTGGCTTCATTCTTGAGTTACATGTTATGTGATCCTCCTGGAACACACCTAATTCATCTGTATTAACTAAAATAATAATAAAACTTATCATTAAGTATCATATTTAGCAAATATAATATATTAAATTTTATAATTTATACATGATAAATTACATACATGACTAATTAGATAGTTAACTTTTGAAAATAATATACGGATCACAAATTCAAATTCCACATAAATAATTTTTTTTAAGTAAAGACTACAAATTCATAATAATATATAAATAATCAGTTTCTTTTAAAAATTATGAATAATAATTTATTGACACCTATTTAAATTCAGAATAACTTATTTATAAAATAATAATAAAAATTAATTAATAAATTATCATAAATTTTAGGATTTATTTCAGTTTTATTTTTTTAAATTTAAAAAAAAATTGGAGAATTTTAGAAAAAAAAAGTTGAGAAAAACATTATAATTTTAGTTTCAAAATATTTGATACAAAAGAATATCAATAACAACGAAATTTAAAAAAAAATAGTAATTTTATAGTTATACATTATATTATATATATATATATATATATATATATATATATATATATAATCTTTTATCAAAACTTGGTATTTTAGTTTTTAAAGACTAAAAAAAATTAACTAATTATTGAATAAGTTTTTTATAATTTTGAAACATAAGATTATCTATATAATTATAATATGCTTAACTTTTGTCAACGTCTACAATTTAGTAAGAATTTGATGACGCTCATTTTAAATTGCATCTATCACTTATGTGTTATCCTCATTCATCTCAATTCTTTGAATTAACTATAATTTTTGAAAATGTTAACTTTAAAGAAAATTAGATAATATTCTCTAAAAATTTTAAATATACATTCAATTTATAAAATATATTTTATTTTTTATAAAAAAATGTAATCTTTATAATTATGTATTTATGTTTTAGTTAATATTCTAATTTTAAATAAAATAAAAAAAGTGTAACACTACTTTATTAAAAAAAACAGTGGTATTTATTAAAAACATGATAAAGAGAATTATTTATTTTACCTTTAAATGAAATATCAATATTATTTTATTAAATAAAAAAAACAGACCATTCATATAGAAGATATTGGAGTGCAACTGGTAAATTCACAATGTTTATTTGGTAAACCCAAATTAAAATCAAAGACAGGAATGTGTGGGGTGTTATTTGAGCTTTATTTCTGCTTTCCACCAGCGAATCAATATATTCTTCACAATTGACTTAAAAAGAGTGTTTCCTAATGCTTTTAAACTTTTTATATACTTAAAAAACTTGTTAAGAAAAACATTGATTTAGGTAGAATGTTTTTTCATAATGGTATTTTAAGTAGAGTGTACCATGTACCACTGGACACTAATCAATTGGTACCCATGAGTTCATACCCTTACTATCTAGAAAGGAAAAGGAGAGGAGAGGACCCATTTTTGGTCTTTTTCATTTTGTCATCTTTATGTTTTTGAAATTACAAATCATGAAGAAATTTGAGTAATCAACTAATGACATGAAAAGGAAAAGAGAAAAAAAAGAAAATACATTTGATAGAGTGAAATCCAAGAGAAAGACCATTTTAATTTTTTTAAGCAGAAAGAGAGAAAATAGGAAACAAATAACTACAATCTTCTTTAGGTATTCCACATCCAACCACATTCAACAACAATAATAACTATTAATTAATTATTCATAGAAAAGATGCCAAAGGCATATGTGAAAAAGGAATGGGCCAGCAAGATAATGGTCTAAGCATATGCTTAGAAGATCCTCTGTCTATGCCCCCACCCACCTCCTCCATACCCAAAACGAATATCTTCCCTTCTCCTTTACACTTTTTTAAACTCTCCTTCCCTTCTTCTCTTTCAACAATCTCCATTGCAAGTTCAAAATGCTAATTCGGATAGGAATTGAGGCATGCAACAAGAGTGAGATTAACGAGGGTGGACATGACGACGATGGCATAGAGTTGAATTGTTGATCAACCAATGACAATTGCAAGCCTTTCTTAGACTTGTTTGATCATTTGGGCAACTGAAGATCCTTTGGCATCACTCGTCCTTGTTCCTCCTCTATACCTTCTATTTCCCAACCAGGTTGTGGTTTTCCAAAATGTTGATTTCATCTATGCATGTTCCGTGGAAGAATTCATACTAAGCTATGGTTCCTTAATAGAGATTATATATATAATTAAGATTTTGTGTCTCCTATTATTGCTTGTTATTCTCACTCCATTCTGCTCACTTGTTCCTTCTGAACTGTTTCTTGCTATCTTTTGCTTTGAGTTTGATCTGTAGGGGTCTACTACATAAAATTTATGTTCAAAACAATTTTTGGTAAAAAAAATATATATAAATATTTATATTTTTAGGCTATGTTTATTTATTCCTATATTCATTATGCAAACTATATCATGTGCCTCTCTACAAAACATTCAGGTGGCTTATCAAAATTTGTGGAACTAGGTGCTTCAGCTACACTCTTTTGTTACTTCAAAATAAGCTGAAAGGAGGTGCTCAGGAGTAATTGGTTGTTTTTTCTACCATTCCTCTCTTAACATAGTTATCTATCTCTCCTTGCCAAACTAAAAACACAAGAAAATTGGCTAAATCAATAGTAGTAAGAAGAGTAAAAGCTTGAAAGACTACTCGAAATAATTATTAAATAACTATCTAACGAGAGATAACAAGAAGGGAGTCTAAAAGGTGTTTTTCAAAAGAAAAAAAGTATTATTAATATAAGGATATTAAGTTTATTTAAGTTATATTTATATTAATTCTATCACTCCATTACTAACCTAAATATTTGTATTGTTAAAATGGTTCAAAAATTTATCTAAATCTATTTTAAAATATTTTAATCGTATAATAATTGATATTTTCTCTTCTTCTTCCTTTTTTTTATGTTATTTTTTTGTTGAAATAGAATCGTCGTCTCTTTTATCTCTTTTATGTTTTGAGTTGAGTCTTTTACTAAAAAAATGTAACATTTTTTTTTAAGTTTTAACCCCTTCAAAACTTTTAAACGTTTAAATCTTTTATTAAAATATAATTATGTCCTTAATAAAGTAAAAAAAAATAGTATCTCTATAAAAATATATCACTTTAATACATTTATAATCTAATAGTTATTATATTAAAAATCTTTACATTAAAATCATTTTATAAATTATATGAGTTAATATTAAATTAAAATAATTTAATATTCTCTCACTTTATTTATATAATAAATTGAATATTTAATATTAAATACAAAATATAATGTGAATTTATTAAATATTTTTTATCATTAAATTAAATTAAAAATTAAATAATGGCGGTTACAATTTATCAAACAAAATATATATAACTTGTAGTCGAATTATTATTGGACCGTTATTAGAATATACCATATGATAAAATTATAATATATAAATAGAATATAAACTTTACCTTATACGTCAATCTTATAAAATTAAATTATACACATTTTTATTTATAATAATTTTAAGATAAGAATGAGTTATATATATATATATATATATATATATATATATATATATATATTATTTATGCAGGTCATTATATTTAATATTTTTAATTTTTTATATATACAATTATAAAAAAACCTTTTATTAGATATGATGATATAAAACATCAATTACATATTTTAGTAAAAACTTTGTACTTATAATTTTTTGAATGAAGATTTAGATTTTTTTTTTCATATTCTTAATCCAAATTACAATAACTTTTATATGAAAAACTTTTGTATCAATGAATCAAATTATTATCCTAAGAGTATTTGTTTTCTCATTGTCACAATACATCAGATTCCGTGGTAATTTCAAAGTTACTGTACTAAAATGCGAATAAAAATCTTGAACCACCCTGGTTAAAGTGGAGGGAAAGATCGCGCAATGAAATCTGAAAAGCATCTCAACCGTACATTTATGACTCTTAATCGCCAGCTCATCAATCCGCAGTTCATCGATTTAATCTTAATATATCTTGGCCGTCTACTAGATTTCCACGTCATTAATCCGCGCGAAACCCCCCTAGCCAATAAGAGCGAAGAACCTTTCTCTATATTAATAACTCCTGCAAGTAGATTTCACTCCTCACTTCAATTTGCGATTTCAATTCCCAAATTGAAACCCTAGTTTCCTTCAGACCATCAAATTCCCAATTAGCAATGGCACCAAAGGCAGAGAAAAAGCCAGGGGAGAAGAAGCCCGCAGAGGAGAAGAAATCAACTGTGGCAGACAAAGCTCCGGCGGAGAAGAAGCTGAAGGCTGGAAAGAAGCTTCCGAAGGAGGGAGGAGTCAGCGCTGAGAAGAAGAAGAAAAGAAGCAAGAAGAGCGTTGAGACTTACAAGATCTACATCTTCAAGGTTTTGAAACAGGTTCACCCTGACATTGGTATCTCCAGCAAGGCTATGGGCATCATGAACAGCTTCATCAATGACATATTCGAGAAGCTTGCCCAGGAATCTTCTAGACTTGCCCGTTACAACAAGAAACCCACCATCACTTCGAGGGAAATTCAGACCGCGGTGAGGCTTGTGCTGCCGGGAGAATTGGCCAAACATGCAGTCTCAGAGGGCACCAAGGCTGTTACCAAGTTCACAAGCTCTTGAATTATGAATTTATTAGGTTATGCATAGAATTAAATCAGTAGATCTTTAATTTTTGGTTGCAGGAATGGGCTGAGTTCATCCTTTTGTGAATGAAATTTGTCAGGGATAATGATTTAGGAGCTTGTGTTGCATGTATACCTGAAATGGTTATTTCAAGAATCAGACATTTACGATTGTCAAATCAGTTCAATGAATATGGAATATATCATTTCATGAATTTGTTTATTTTGACTTTTTCTATCTGGAGCAAACTGGACATGGTTGTTCCTGCAGAAATCGTTCTTGTTGGCATTATTTTTCAACAAGGATGGTGAATGAATTTATTCTTCAGACCTTTTCTATTATGCTTGAGCAATAATTATAGCATTTCGAATTTAATAGCTTGGCTATTTTGGAATATGATCAAAGCATTGCTGTGAAGTTTTCTCCTTTGTCAATCAAAGGAGATCTAGTTTTATTTGTTAAAAGCTTTGGGTGGGGTGGTAAACCATTGTTCTAACTTCTTAAATTTGGAAAATGAAGAATATGAAATGGCTATTGCTTTAAATTTCAGATCTGTGAAATCAGGTTTTCTTTCCCAGAGTTTCATATATGAACCTCACTACTATTTAACCTAAATCAAACTAACCAAAATTAAATATATTGAGTTTCGGAATCAGATGTATTGCAAATAAATCTAAGGAATATGAGTCATATCATTCTTACTGTTAATAATTTTTTATGATATAATTATAGAATTTTGGTTTTTAATTAGTTTATTGACTTATACTTTTTTATTCTCAATCACTTCACCAATTTTATTTTTAATTTTTCATAAATTTTGTTCTATTTTATTTTATTCTTAATAAAAATAATTTATTTGCGTTAGGTTTTTGTTTTTTAGTATTCGTTATTTAAACGTTGATGTACTTGTTAACTTGTTACTCGTGTTCATTTCTTTTTAACTTTAATTAATACTTTTTCCAATTTTTATTAGACTTAATAATTTTGTGTTTTCTTCCGCGTAATTTTTTTTACCTTATTGATCTTCGTATTTTTTTTATTTAGTTCTTATTATGTTTTATTGTCTTAGGATATTATAAACAAAATTTAGAAAAAAAATCGGATTTTGTGATGAATTTTGATTATATAATTTCGTTCTAATGGTTAAATATATATTCTTTTTCTATTAGTATATAAACTTAGTTTATTTTTTTATAAAGTGATTTTTTTCACTTGTGTTTTTTATTTTATTTTTTTAAATTAACTTTTTTTTAAGATCATTATATACTAATGTTGCAATAAAAAAAGAAGTCATTTAATATTAGTTCATAAATATAACAATTTGATAAAACTATTAAACAACAAGTAATATTTTCAACAATGTGTAACCTTTTTATGTTGATAAAAATATATAAAATAAGACAATAATTTTTCTATTCATAAAAGTAAATATATAATTATAGAATTTAAAAAGAAATCGAACTATTTTACCATGAATCTTAGATGATCACAGCGCTAAAGTAGGTTTAAGACCAATTGTATCTGGTTCAAACTGACCCATTATTAGTTAAGTTTGTTTATTTTAAAATATTATTATTTTTTAAATATGAAACAATCTACCTAAATAAAAAATAATTTATTCATGCTATAATTTTCCACCCAATACATTCTAAATCAACTATTAAACACCTCTTCACGCTAAATAAGCTTTCACTAAAATCACTCTAAGGATATCCTGTTAGTATTTTTATAAAATCCATCATTTATGTTTTAAATATTTATTAATTCTCTTAATTAAAACTAGCAGAAAGAAATGTACTATGTCCCCTGTGATAAAATGACCATTATACCTATTAGGTTATAATATTAGAATAATTAATTCCTTTACTAACGAGAAATTCATTATTATTTAAAATATAATATAATAAAATAAAAATAAATATCTCATATTTTTAAGAAAATTACCCTGGCTCGACCAAGATAATAGATTCATAGATAAAATAAGAATAAATATCACATAATTATCTTATAGTTATATTCATACCCTATTAAAAAGTTTTGTATTTTTATCATTACTCACTAACTACTACTTATTATTCATTCATACATTTACTTACTTAACATGAGAGTCTTTATAAGTGACTCTCTCTCTTCAACATACATCACAACACTTTACAGATAACTTATAGAGCTTGATCAACCTTTTAAATCTAAGAAAAGACATTTGATGTCCACCATCGTGTTGTACTAGTGTTCATTACTCAAACTCAAACAATCAAAAGATCTGGTACATCCATACCTGGGCTCCTTACTTGGTTTCATCGAGGAACGAGTACATACTCAATGATAAATCAACTTACTCACCATCTTCGGCATAACAACTCAACGGAGCATTCTTATCAGATACATACATCTTAATAGAGGCAGATACGTCATGTAACATAATCATTAGGAGATGAACGTTGAACCAATTAGGAGCAATTGTGTCATCTCCCCACATGGTGATGAAGTTCCCATCTACGGAGAACAAATTCATTATTACAGTAAGATCATATCCAAAGGAAGTCTGAGAATGTTGCATCAAAAACTTAAAGGCAAAAACATATTTCGTGCTAGAAAACTTTGAAAAAAAAAAATTGATCGCAAAATCACAAATAGAATAACGTTAAATAAGTCGACCTTGATCCATGAATAAAAGCATATGTGACACACCCTACATTTGATGATGATATATTCGATTTCTAAATTGGAAAAGACACAACTCAAGTCACGTAAATTGACCATGCAATAGATATGGCCACTCACAAAGAGATTAAAGAGGTATTGCTAAAAATAATCAATGTATTTACATGGAGCATGACCGATATGTCAGATATTGATCTTAACATAATATCACATAAATTGTTAGTTTTAGCTAAGGTTAAACCTATGCTCCAGTGAAAACCAACGTGGATGGCATAGTCAAACCAAAATGGATGACACCAACTATACAATACCTACTCCATGACACACTTCTAGATGATAAAAAAAAAAGCACAGAAAATAATAAAAATGTTTACTTAATACATGTTGCATTATAATGAGTTATTCAAGAGATGATACTCAGTCTCACTTCTCAAGTGTTTGGACGAGGAGCAAACATAATACGTCATGACAAAAATTCATAATGGTATATGTGGGATACATTTTGAGACACAGATTATGGCAGCTCAAATACTCTGAGTTGGGTACTATTGGCCTACTATGAAGGAATATGCCAAGATATTCCTTTAGAAATGCGAAACATGCCAACAACATGATCCACCCTCAATAAGTTCACCAGAAGAGTTACACAACATTACAAAACCATGACCTTTCATGTCTTGAGGAATGGACATACTCAGACCTTTTTCTATTGTCAAAAGACAGGTTAAGTTATTGATTATCATTATAAATTATTTCACAAAATGGATTGTGAAGAACATAAGGCATCTTGACATATTGTATTTGATGAAGTCAAGACAAGAAAGTTATTGCTTCTACTTTACTGCTATGTTTTGGAGTCTCTTTGTGCATGTGTTTAGTGTGTGGTATGTAAGCATTAGCTTAATCTCAACTTAATCATCTCCTAAGTTAGATAGAATATCTCACTATCTTTGTTTTTTAGTAAAAAACTATTTTTAATTGGTTAAAAATATGTTTCTATCAACTAAAATGTTATAGGTTCGCATTTTTAATCGATAGAAATTCAAATTAATCGATTAAAACCATTAAAACTCAATATTCTTTCATTCTTCAAAGTTTTAATAGATTAAATAATTTTTTTCATCAATTAAAATGTTCTTCATCAAGTTTGTTGAAAATGAGTTTTAGAAAATTAACCGATTAAATCTCCAAGACAATAGTAAAAATATTTATGAGTTACTTAGTGATTATTGTGCTAAGTTATTTTAATCATTGTGCTAAGTTATTTTAATCGATTAATATGTTTTTTTATCAATTAAATAAACCTTAGTGATGAGTCTCTAAGTTCTTATTAAAAGAGAGAGATTATCCTTAGGAGGGTCACTAGAAGCATGACTAGAAGAAAAACTTCTTCCTCACACTTATCCCTAAATTTACTTAGTATTTTATTCCTTCTCTTTAATTTCCTAAACTCATTTAAACTTGTTTTTGTGGGATTACTAAATGACACTTTTCTTTTTAAGTCCACCACATTTTTTGGAGGAAAGGAGTTTTAGACTCAAGCCTTTAAAGCATGGTCAACCCATGAAGGAAGAGAAGGTTAATCATTGACCTTCTATACGGGAAAGGTTGTGACCTTTGAGGGCAAGACAAAGGGGCAACCCTTTCTAGGTTAAAATTAAGGCAACACATGCTTCTAGAATCCCTAACATAATTCTCTCTAGGTTCCTCACTCATGCCTATAAAGAGAAGGCTCTCACCTCTTGTAAATTATTAGAAATTGAATGAAAGTTTTAAAAGTTATTTTCTTTGAGTGTTCATCTTTCTTGACTCTTATCTTGAACCTTGATTCAAGTGGCAACAACCACCATTCATCTTGGGTTGGTCCATCCGCAAGTGGCATGTCATCACCCCTTGCTCACCCCACTTCTTCTCTTCTCCATTTTTGTTTCCTTTTCTTCTTTTATTTACTACATTACTAGTCTTGCACGTTCAGCCCCTTATATTTGTTGTTTCATGCTTTAAATCATCTATTCTTCTCTCTTGAGTCCTTGGAAGTGCACCTTCACACCTAGACAAGTGATTACCTTAGTGTCTAGTGATAATATTTCTTGGGTTTTCTCATCTTAATTATATCAAACGCTTATATGCATGACTTAAAAATTGCACTCATATCACCTGGACTTAAAAAGATTTGTTGTTTCTTTGTTTTAATTGATTAAACATGTTTTTATTAGTTGAAATACAACACTGGGCCTAGAAAGATTTTTACTTTCTTTATTTTAATCGATTAAAAAAGATAAAATAATCAATTAAATACATGTTTAAGTGAAAATATTGGATTAAAATCACAT